AAAAAAAATTAAAAGAAAAGACTTTAGGAAACAAGCTAGCAAGCTGCATCCTTCACCTATTTTCCTTTAATATAAGTAAAATTTTTCTAATTAACAGAACTACAAGTGTATAATCCTTTTGTTTTTTTATTAACAGGGCTCAATGGTATAAACCAAAACTTTTTGAGATAGATTGGTCACCAAACAGCATTGAACGAGTGATTACCGATTTTTATTGTATCTATTGATCGATCAACTATGCAACAAATGATTTTACTTGTCTTTAGTAAATCCAACTTGTAGCATTAAGTTTTTGTAACCACTTAAGGTTAAGGCACTACAAGGAGTGATTACTTATTCGTAATTCCGTACTTTTACACAACCCAACGTGGGAAGAGAATAATGTACGGAGTGAGGGAGGAAATATAGAGATAGATTCGGAGCAGAAGAAAGGGAAAAAAAAAAATAGCAGACTTGGAGCTCAGACACATAAGAAGACAAAATGAATTCAGGAAAAGATACTTCATTCAGAGACATTTCTCCATCAAGCTCACCCAAACCCCTAATATATTAATGAGATTATTCACATCATTAAATTTATTAAAATTATTAATTTATAATTTTTATTTAAAATAATTAATTATAATATTTAAAAATTATTTTTAATTTATACAATAATAAATAATCAATATTTTATTTAATATTAATATTTTAATCATTAATATAAAATTAAATAATTTTTTATTATTTTAATAAAATTCAATAATAATCACAACATTATCCCAATATAAAACTACTAAAAATTATTAAATTTTTATCTTAATTTAATTATTAAAAATAATTAATAATTAAAAAATAATTACTATTTATTATTTAATAAATAAAAATTAATCTATAAATAAATATTTTTAAATATTACAATTAATTATCTAAAAAATAATAAATTAATAAAATTGTAATTAAATTAATAATTTTAACAAATTTAACTGCAGCAATATATAACCTCCTCCCCCAATATATATCCACATCTTTGTTCAGCTCAGCTTGATCTGTAGAGACCTAGCTAGCAAGGGCTAGGATGAACTAGGTTGGCCAAAAGGGTGGCTAGTATTATTAGGGTTTGAGGAAGTTTACAGCTAGGTAGGGTTACCAGCTATGGGTATTACTTGCTTGTGCTTTGCATGGAATTGGGTTCTGTTTGAACGACGTATTGAATTGAAACTACGGAGCTTTTACCAGCTATGGGTATTACTTGCTTGAGCTTTGCTTTGCTTTGGATGGGTTCTGATTTGGACAGATCATTACTGTGGCCTAGGAAAAGAGGATACGCACAGCACGCAGGACACAGCACGCAGAGCTTTAGTTGTATTTTGACTTTTACTTTTGCTTTCATTGTTTTGTGTTGTTTAATCATGCTGACATCGATGGACATAATTAATAACTGGGATGCTGCCTAAGATGATTTCCTTCTGATTGGTCTTGCTCCTTTTTACTTTTTTTTAAAAAAAAAATTAATTTACTTTAAAAAATTGGGTTAAATTAGTCTAATTTTTAAAGAGTTTTTGAAATTTTAAAATATTTTACTAGTATTTTTTTCATAAAATATTAACTTTTCACAAAATATGAGAAAATTAACCATCATTACGAGAAAATAAAGAAAAAGCAGCGTTTTTATGACTAAAAATTAGCATTTTT